ARCAAGATTGTTGGATATGTTATGACAATGATCGACCAGATGATATGATATACCCTTGTCAGTGTAAGGGTGATGTCGCTGCTGTCCATCATGACTGCTTGAGACGATGGCTACTGGAAGTGAGTTCTGTATTCATTATAAAGATATATCCTTGAATTTCAATAGTCTCCTTCAAGTTTATGTGCGCCATCTTGAAAGGTAGCCGTGCCTTTACACCGAAGCGAGACAACCTTTGAATATTTGTCTGTAGATGTGACAGAAGGTTTCTATCATTGCACTCTCAGTGGTCGCCTCGCTTAGGTGCAAAGGCGTGGTTATCTATCATGATGGCACAGGGAACCATGAAGAAGATTCCATTTTAAAGTTTAGCTTAAAGAATCAATATATTGAATTGCACTAGATAAAATATTATTTTCTGATAGTCATGTTCAAATGAAGGACCAAGATGTAAAGTATGTGATCAGGAGGTTAGTTGTACTTTATCAAATAAGTGTACATGTACTTGTTTGTTATAATGTATATTCACCGTATTACRTTATAAATGTTATCTTATTTTATTCTAATTTTTTATGTCTATAAATTATTTCTATCATAGTATACAGTAAAGATATCCCGTGTATGGCTACCAAGTGGCTTAAATATCAGGTACATTTTTTTACATTCTTTGAATCTTAAAGTTAAAGAAAATAAATGACCCATAGGTACAAGCAGACATTTTCCAGGAAATGGAGCAGGTTTTGATCCTTCTAGTATTAATTCTCTATAGTTAGTGTACGGTCAAGTGTTWAGAAATCGTAATGAATGATTGTTAAACTGCATGCCTAAGAATGCAGAGATTTTGGGAAAATCAGATTGCTTGACACAATAATCCTTTATCCAAGAAATGTGCTTTATTATAGTAGTTTTAGTATATGGTTCCACAAAATAAATGTCATACAATTTTTAATTTTACTTTTTTTTCTCTCTCTCTTTTTACACTAAATTCTTTCTTTTCTGTCTAGATATTGGTTACAGACAATCACTGTTCTCGTTGTCATGGTAACATCGCCAATAGGTGCATATATGCTGTGTTTATCAAACGTCGTCACAGCGTGTAAAGTCCTTTTCCTTGGCGTAGCCATTTTACTTGAATATTTATGTATGAGGTAAGATCGTTATATCAAATAATGTAAGTTGAGTGCTTTCATCCTCAAAAACATTTGTAAACCAATACTTAAACTCCCTAGTGTGYAGTTTATTCATGATCTCCCTTTCATTATGTATTTACAGATTGCTTGGGTTCAATATGGTCGGTGCCTATCGCCGAGCTCGTTTAATAGCCATTACCATTATTGGCCATAATAAGCCTGGACAAGTTACACAAGCAGAAGATGAGACGCCATCCACGTCAACTGCGTAATGCACATATCATATATCATACATCACATCATATCAAGACTTCTTGTCATTGCACATGAAATGATCAATATGATCCAATGGGATTATGATTTGATTGCAGGATTTGGATGATAATAATTTAAACATGGCTATGCATGCAACAGAAGCAAATGCCTCATCTAATTATTATTTACAGGGTTAGGGGATGATGACAGATGCTATTCCTCATGTTAAATTATGCCTCTTTTGAATTTAAAGTAGTCTCCTTTGCAGCTATACCCTTTTGTCAGGCTTCCTGGGACAGACAGGAAGTCCATCAAAAGAGTACGCTGTGAAGGAGACTAAATTAAAGTASATGACTGCTTATTTAATTGACACAGACTCATAGCACAGAGACTGTAAAATCAAAAGATAGAAAGCACTAAAAAATGTCATTACAATAATTGTTCTTGCATGTAACAATTTTCATTTTTTATCCTCTCTGAATTGAGGTCAGTGCTGTATTCCCAATAGAACTGGGGCGGGTTGTTGAAAGACAGATTAGCATTAATCCAGGGTTAACTCCATAGGATTTCTAAGAGTAAATGCAGTATTAGCAGTAATGGAGCTTTAAACCTAGAGGAGGACAGCTACAAGTATTTGAAATGCTAGGTTTTAGAGAAAATGTGATTTCTGGACCATTGACAACAATCTTTCCTGAGGCAAAGATCTTTTTTTGTAATAAAGGTATGTGTCAGTAGGGTCTGCTGTCAAAACAAACAACAACAACATTGAACAAGAACAAAAAAAGAAGCAAAAACTAAGCGAAAAAACATTTTTCAGGAAAAAGCAAGGTATCTTGGTGATAGCAAAAACTCCTTAGTAGTGCAAAACTACAGTAACATTTCTTTTTTTATTGGAATGGAAATACAATGTATATACTAAACAAAAATATCTATATTTTTAGAATGTATTTATTAACTGATTGCATGGTGCCCTGTGAAACTATTTCACTGATAACTGATAAGTTGCATGTCAAGATCTTTGATTTCTTTGAGGCTACTTGGATGAAAAATGGCAAAACATTGGGAAATCACAAAATTGTTTTGGAATTTTGGCAAGTTCTTTCCTTTTTTTCCCCTTTTGTTCAATTTTTGAGGCAAATTTTCTATGCTTTTGTATAACTCTATTGATAATATAACGTTTTTAAAATAGGTATAAATTAGTCATTTATTTGAATTATGTGGCATTTTGAAATTGGAGCTTTTTTCATGCAAGTAGCACTTTTAAAWAATGTTTGACCTGTATTATCATGGCATAAAAAATGAAATCTGACCACAAGTAATGAATACTATGTGTGTATAGCATTACTGGTCATTATGGGATTGTGTAGTAACTTGTCACAAGTTAGCTAATATTCTCTAAACATTCTAAATCTAACCAAGCTGCATATGACATTATTATAGGGTCTCGAGGAYGACAGGGTTGTGTTTTGAACTCTGATTGATGAATGTTCAATACGATTTACCTGTAATGAATACACACAATGATGGACCAATAGAGAAACCTTAAAATTATGCACTTTTACAACTTCATGAAGAGGGCTGGCACTTGGCCCTTTTGCAATGTCCATATACATGTATTCAATAATCACGGAATGCTGTAAAATAGCCAAGTTTGAGTCATTTTAATCTTTACCAAGTATGATGGCTTCCTTTTTCCATGTCAGTTGGCATGCAGAATGCAAAGATACTGATTTATTTAACAAACATTGTTTGTATAAGTTACAATATACCATTACCATCTTATGCCATGGCAATACAGCCGCTATGCAGGCTATACAGCCACAAAAGAGGAGAGGATCAGCACAAAACAATGTACATATATAAATGACAAATGCTATATGTACACAAGAATATAAATTTGACTTATAAATAGATTAATTTTGTTAATTTGGATGGTGGGGATTGATTTCTTATATATGAATAGATAAATAATTATGATTTTCCATTTATTATGGTTTCAAAAATAAATGTTCCATAAAGAATGCTCTCATTTTTCATTTATTGTAGTAAACTAGCTATTAAAAGTATTTTCTCTCCATAGCATCATAAATTCCAACATTAAGCTAAAGCAATATTTTGTTTAAGTCTTCAAGATGCACATTGTTGTACATGCAAATCTGGATAAATCTCTTGCTCATACAAAGATGCGGTCACTGCAATGATTTAAATTTCCGTTGTGCTTACTGTATGGAATTTAAATTATTGATTTGACACAAGTCTAATCTGGTATCTTTGGATACATGTAGATATGAGAATAGACTGCGCTCGAGTCCGACTTGGGCAAGTCTAATATGAGAATAACAGCACCTGGATTTGTAGAGGCTGTTGTGTTCATAATGTCTGACAGATGTTTCTTAAATTACGGTAAATGATTTGGAAAATAATATTTTGATACAAATATTTTACAAATAGCAGATTGCATCCATGTCATCTAAGTCAGTAAGGAATGGTGCAGGGAATACAACTACCTCGTCAACAGAGGCTTTTTTTAATGCAAAGTTTGAGCAATCCAGCTGTGGACGAAGTGGAACGCGTTTACAGATGATTGGAAAAATCACGTCCTATGAAGGGTCAACGCAGACAAAAACACACTCGCATATACGCGGCTTTGTGTTCGTACGCATTTAATAAAGGTCATTTAGGGACGGTCCATTTAACTTTGGGGGGGGGGGGKGGATGATTTCTTGTGAGCAAGATTTTTTTCTTTCTTCGTGGCGTTTGGGTAGGATATATTTTTTTCTCTTGGTGGTGTGTAGGAATTTTTTTTTCTTGTATGTAACATTTTTTTTGGCTTAGGGTGGTGCAAGTTTTTTTTTCAGGTCCATATGTTGTGCACGATTTTTATTTTTGGTGAAGATAGCTTGCAGGATTTTTTTTTTCAAAATCATCCACCCCCCCTCCCCACCACCTCGAAAGTTAAATGGACCGTCCCTATGTAAAGTATGCTAGACATTTGATTGGTGCATTAGGAAAGAAACTAATATTTAGGGGAATCCCCGGATTTGTGTCGGATCAAAAACAACTCTGGATATTGCTCCACAATGTTTACTTCAAAGGTAATTCCCGAATATGTGAAATTTTCTCGAACCATCGTGTTGTGAGTCGTGTAGTTTAGACTAATGTACGATACCGCAATTGCATATCGTATTTTAGAGACGATTTTCGCTCTTTATATCTTTACAGTCGACCCAGCTGCATTCCCAAATTGTTTACATTTCCTGCGACATTCACGGATATTTCGATCTTGAGAAAATTTTCCTTCGAAAACGACGTCAGATTTGCATCGTGTGCAACAGTTTTCAGATGATTTTCGCTTATTAGTTTACAACCTACGCAGTTGCATTTCTAATGTTTACATTTTTTCCTGTGACAATCAAGGGGTAGATTTTTCTTTATTTAGTTGACGTCAAATGTGCATTGTGCACAAAACAAGTTTTCAGATGTTTGATTATATATTTTGGTCGAGAATTTGGTTTAGAACACTATAAGACTTGGTGGATGTAACATAATCCGAGCCATACGCAATACGCATAATAATATGAGAAAATGTGGACAAATGTCTTGCAATAATGCGACAAAGACATTTCAATTTCGAGTTTTTCTTCAGTCAGTATTTAATAATTCTATTTTGAATAAAGTATCTTGAATATTTTTTGGATTTAAGATATATAAAACATAGCTCTGAGGGAGACAATAATTATATGCAACGTTGCACATTTCCTAGCCTGCGTTACATCCGGAATATTCTTCGGTATTTGTGAAATTTCCGGGATGTAACGCAGGCTACACATTTCCCCGGATACAAACTTCGCGCGCGTCCTAGGCGCGGCACTCACGCGCGATAAGTGTTGCATGATTAGTGAGAAGGGGACAGACATCACAGGATTTAGGATTTTGTTTAGTCTAGTAGTTCGACTGAGTCTAAAGGCCCGTTTACACTTGCGATTTTTACAGAGCGAATCTCGCGGCGATCTTCGCGCGACCATGGCCTGAGTTTCGAACATGGTTAAAAATTGGCTGCAACTTCACAGCGATTTTCCATCGTCGCAACAATATTAACAATCGCAGGGCTGTTTACACGTACGATTTGAGTTGCGCTGCAAAAATCGCAAGCATAAACGAGCCTTAAAAGATCTCTACTTGTCAAGCAAGCCAAGACCGGGGGAGGACTCCCTAATAAAAGGACCTGTATTGTGAGTTGATGGGCTAGTGTGCGCTGAAATTTCACCCCTAAGAGGGACCAATCAATAACAGGTACTTTTGTTTTGATTTCCCGATTTTATTTGTGTTTTTGCACATGCATCAAACGCCGTCGTCTACTTTTGAGATCAATCATCTAATTAGCATTTATGGTTGTTGTTGATCTCATAATGACGGCTTAGATTGGTCTAATACCATAAAAGGGACCACAAAACACAGTCGGTGGGAATTCTCGTCATTATTATCACCCTAAACGACGAGGACCCCCGCCATTTTTTATTAGAGAGTCCCCCCCTCCCCCAAGGTGGACGTTGAAAAAGCTAAAAAGCTATACAGGAAGAGATATACAATAAAAGATTCAATAATTTTTTTTTCTGCATTTTATATTTTAATTTCTTATCTTCCTTCAGTTTCTTACTTCTTTTTTGTATTTTTTTTCTTCTATATTACTGTTGTTATTTGGGTAGCCTGTGTCATAAATTATAATCCCGGGTTCCATGCCATTCCGAGAATCAAAGCGGAAAAGGCGGTTATTATTCTGTTTCAAATTATCAAAAAGGTACTGAAAGGTAAATTGCAATTCATTACTATTGTAAAATCCTAACTATATTTTAGAAAACTTAAGATAAATTTAAAAGCTTACTTTGAAAACGGCAGAAAAGGGGGAGTGAGCGCATGGCTGGCTTTTAGATCTTGCCTTTTTGTGTTTGCAAACGTGGTAGACGCTTACAGGCTCTGCCCATCTTGTCATGCCTTCAACACCGAGTTTTGAATTGGAATCTACTTCTAATATATAACTTACTAGTTACAAAGAGCCATAGTGAAAAAAATGCCTCAGCACGACTGGAAAAATAAGCCTAAAATATTCCTAACGTTGTCGATATCGAAAGTGCTATGTAGTGCACAAAATACAATAATAAACTTAAGTTATTAAATAAAATTCTTAAGTATTTTACTACCGAGGAACCTTAGCCTCCTTTGCAGATGTGTCAGGAAAAAGTTGCTATAGGACCTATATTAGTCCGAATGTTCTAACTTTTCACATTTCTTTAGACTAAGTCAATCTTACCTTTAAGAAAGGTTGGTCCTCGTGTATAAAGCAGGACAAGCAGCTACTAGGGTACCCTCAGGCTTTTCCCATATGGGTGTGGAGAAACGCTCACCCTTAACACCAGGTCCCTTGTCAATCCAGACGTCCAGTCTGGGAACGATCTTATATGCTGTACGCATACTCAAGGGACTTGAGGGTTTGGTATTTGAATTGAGGCTCATCACCTACAGACAAAGGGTCAATTATGCTGTTTTACAAAGAGCGTTCTAACCTCACCAGTAGATTCACTGATCCTTTCAGCTGATACCAGTAATAATGTTATCTGAAGTAAAAGAATAAACCATGACTTAAAGTACRCAATGTTTTCTTGGCTAGAGCTGAAAACTTTCTGTTAAGTAAGTGTATTTTAACATAATTGTATCATATAACTATGAATTTATAAAAGGTCAGACAGTACCGTCTAGAACAATACAGTAATTCCATAGCATTAATGCTGCTCTCTCCATAAAAACTGTTAGGAAAAAGGTTAGATCTGGGCTTCCTGTGATGAAGTACATCATTCAGTTAGATAAATGCATCGTTTATAATAATTTCTCTCTTGATTTATTGTTTGAAAATATTTAATAATAGAGTTCAATGCATAATAAGTATAGTACACAACTCAGTGTGTGAAGTTTGTAATAATGATGACTCGCTTTTACATCAAAAACATTGTTATGGATAATATTATTATTATTTTATCAATTGGAATTCAAATAATGAAAGATAACAGCACTCTAAAAAACACAGAAATGTTAGGTCAAATAGAATTTWGCATATTTGGAGAATATATAGGCTTTCAAAACTAAAAATCTTTAGTAAACATTGACTGGTTGTCAAGAGATGTTAATAAATATTTCTTTAATTTGGGAAATCTTGAAAAATCTGGGTTCAATTTCTTTTAAAATATTTAACCAATTGCCTTTAATTTGTAAGAAATTACTAACAGATATCATGGGCTTTGATTCTTTTGTTGATTTGATTTCCTGTGACTTWTGACTTTTCAAWTTTTTGACCCAAACTGGTGACCATAATCGGAAACATCAAAAATAGTCTCTGATTAAAAACAGCAACATATCAAAGTTGACTTTAGGGCCTGCAAGTTAGTATATCTTCATCTTTTAACGTTACAACGTTCTCTAAACAATGAAACATTTATTGAGTCACTTACAGCTCTTACTTAATATACAATGAATAAACTTAAACATTGAATTAGGTATACTGCAAAGGGTATGTTTAAACTTAATTATTTTTGTTATTACTAGATACATGCCAAGAATATATATGTGCGTTCACATAGCTAAAGGAGTTGTACATGTACATAACATTGGTTTCCTTAGGTGATAACAACATTCTAACCACTAACCACAGTATATCCTACAGTTAACTGCATGTATGTGATACATAAGATACCTAAGATGTTTATAATATGCACTAAACATGTGTGAGACAAAACAAAAGATTAAAAGAGTTAAACTCTTGAATTAAGCCAGAGTTTTTCTCCCAGAAAGCAAAAGATTAAAAGAGTTTAAGCCAGAGTTTTGCTCCCAGAAAGAACTCTATTCCCAGGAACTGAATATAGGTTTATCATAATACTTTGAAAGAAWAGATGATTTCTAAGGGGTTTTATAAGTAACACAGGCACACACATACAGTATATGAAAACTGCTGGTAAGTACAGTATTTTGGGAAAATACTTGATCCTTGCCAATAATTTTGCCAAAAGCAAATGTTAAAGGATGTTTTTGAAAGTGTGCATGAATATTGGAAGTCATCTGTTCACAGTACAAGTAGCCTGCTTTGCAAACTATATCTATCCAAGGTTTCATTATTAATAATTTTAAAGTAGGTAGCTGAAAAGGTAATCATAAAAATTAATGTGTATCATAAAATTTTTGATATATAACGCTCGCTCTGATTGGCTGACGACTGTGTTTTATATCAGAGAACAGAGACACGGCTTACCGGCAAAATTTTCTTTTCGCTCGGAAAATTTGATAAAAGAAATATAAAACGGCCGCTTGTGTCTCTGTCCTCTGATATAAACAAGGTGGGAATTGAAAAACACTTGAGAAGCAAGAGAAACACTCGCTACGCTTGTGTTCCTAAGCTTGCTTCTCTCGTGTTTTTCGAATTCCCACCGTGTTTATATCAGGGGACAGAGACACGCGCGCCGTTTTATATTTCTTAATTATAATGGGGCTACAAGCATGATATAAATTTTCAAACTTTGATTATTTTTGCAAAATTGGATGACCCAACGTCAACAAATGCTGGGTTTCCCCAGAATCTGGCTTCTATTATCCCTCTGATCCATGCAGAATATAATACATAGCATTCAGCAAGATTTTTGGCATAAATGAAAATTGAAAATTAGTTTGTAATGCAGGGCACACTGCAAAAAGTCTGGATCTTATTCTATTCACCGCAGTCTTGCAATCCTGCTTGACATGCAATATTACTAACTGTAT